CTGCAAGGCCACCGCGCTGCTGCCCCCCTCCACGGCCGCCGCGCTGCTGCCCCCCTGCAAGGCCACCGCGCTGCTGCCCGGGGCCACAGCTGGGGGCTGCCTTTCTCACTGCCCGGCCATGGCTATGGCTCTCCCCGTGGGGGGAATGCTCCCTGCACCCTGCGAGCCTTGCGGTGCTTCCCCACCCCTTGCTGGGTTCCCTAACCCTGCCCACATCTTTGTGAACAGTGCCTCCATGGAACTCCCTCTGACCACTTTGAACTGCAGAATCCTGAGAATCTGTGACTCAGTCTGGGAAAGCCCATGACTCGGAGGAGGTCAAGAAGCCTCTAGAGCAGAAGCACACACAAGCCACCACGGTCTCAGGAGGCTGGATAACCCGGCGGGCTTCCTGAAGTGCTTTCCCCCAAATGCAAATCCAATCAAGTCATTCCCCTGCTTAAGTCCTTCAGTGGCTTCCCACTGCTCTTAGAATAAACGGAGTTCCTTAATGTGGCCCACAAAGTCTACCTAGTCCGCCTCTCTGACCTCAGCCCACACACCTCCCCTGGAAGCCTCCTAGGCTTCAGACACCCTGGCCTTTTGGTTCTGCACTTGTGCCCGATCCCGCAGCCCGAGGACTCTGCACATGTTATTCCTTCTGTCTGGAAGGGTTCCCATCTTGTCCACTCATTCTCTGGGCCAAGTGCAAATGATTCTTCTCAAGCCTTCCCTGACCCTGGTCCTCTGCCACGTGACCCTGAATCCAGAATCCGTCCTTCAGAGCACTTGCCCCAGCTTGTGACCATTCTTATCTAATCATTTCATTAACGCAGTTAAACTTTATTGGCTTTAAAGGCCCTCCCCCCATACTCCTGCTTGGGTTCCACATGCGGACACCTAGAATTCTGCTTCCTCAGTAAATTGCCAAGTCACAGCCAATCCCAGCCACATTCCAGCCAAGCAGCCAATCACAGCAGCCACATTCCAGCCAATCACAGCAGCCGCATTCCCGCCAATCACAGACAGTCCACCGTTTAAACTGTGCTCACACCGCAAACACCAAGTGTAACCAATTCAATAATTTCTCTCCCTCATTCCCTCACTTCCTTGTTTTTTTTGTATGTCACTTTCCCTTTTTGGCACATAAATGTCACCTCACACCCCCACCATGTCACTATCTGGAGTCCTGTGGAAGCCGTTCTGGAGCTTGCCTAATGCGAATCATTTTGCTCAATTAAACACCACTAAATTAAATCATCGAAAGTTTTTCTTTTAACAATGCCAGAGTCCCCAATACACTGGGAGCTCTGGGAGGATGGTACATGTCTACGCTGCTCACTCCATGTCCTCACACTCAGAGCTGCTCACAAGGATCTTAGAGAAGTGAGTGGCCGGAGGTGATACCTGGGTAAGATCAGGCAGGGCCAGCCTACCAGAAAACTCAGGCTAGGAGTCGGATCAAGGGTCAGTCTACCGAGAAGCCCCCTGAGCGAGGGGCTGAAGAGCTGGTGAGCCTGCTCAGAATATTCTACATGTACATTTGTAGGCACCAAGCAAAGTCCACCCCCCCCCTTTCCAAGCCATAGAATAGAAAAACCCAGAAACATTACCTTCATGTCAAGGGTGAGTATCGAGTCAAACTGGTTGTGAAACTCCTTGGGGCTGAACAACTGGGACTCTTTGGCTGTGAAAAAAAATCAATGTCATTCAAGGCAATGTCAACCCCCTCTCGAGACTGGCACTTGTCTACAGCTTGGGAAGCCAAGAGGTAGATCCCCGCTTCGCACCACCGGCTGACCTTGGGGGAAGAACACACGGCCTGTGGTTAGCCTCACCACCACGCCACACCACTTCGGGCCTCAGGAGGCTGGAGTGCATCCGGGGCTACAATGAACATCGCCGTAGCATGGCATAAAGTTTAGGCTCCAACCACGGTAAGTACGAGTACGGGGTGAACGACCGACCAATCTACCGCTTCTCAGAGAAGCCACTCGATGAGTAAAATAAGCCCCATAAACATTCTCTCTTCCAACAATTCCAAGAGGACAGATGAATATTTATTTTAAAGTTTTATTTAATTTTTAACTTGCTAGAGGACGGGAGAGAGAGAGGGTGGGGGGGAATGAAAAAGCACCCCCATGGGGGATGGTCACGCTGCAATCCATTCTCCTCTGTTTCTCCCTCCATTGGGGCTGGCACTCACATGTGCCTGCTGTGTTTTATCAAGAGACTGGGTCTGGTTCTCGAGCCCTGCCCGGGCCATGTGGGGTCCAGCCCCTCTGACCAGCATACCACTCCTGTCCAGAATCAAGCCTGCCTAAGGCGGAGCTCACCGCGGAGAAATGCGATCAGCGGCTTGGAGGCCACTCGCCGTGCATCCGAATGGATTACGAGAACACAGGCTAATTACTGAGGCAATCGACCGGGCCTTACATGCCTCCCAGGGGAGGGAAGGTCCCTCCTAACAAAACATCGCTTTGCTCTCTGGGGTCCCAGGTGACCCTCATTTGCCCTTACTGGCATCTGTCTTCCTTAAAGAAGCATTTCCAGAGTCCTAAGCTTTGTAACTCAGAACACGTCTTCTGGATGCTGGAACGAAGTCAGTCAGGTGACGGATTACGGCAAGCCAATTTTTAAAGACTTGTTTACGTTGCCCTTTGAACTCCACCGAAACATTTAAACGGAGACAGGGGGCCTTGTGCTCCCTAAATACTTATATTTAAAAAGATTCTAGGGCAAAGTAATTTGCATTTCCATTTATCACATGTCCTGACGATGTGAAATAATTAGAGAAAAATGATCAAAAGAGAACACCACTCCAAAGTGGTTATCTCCAAGTGGGACCTGTACAGGCAGCAAAAATGTCCATCTTCTTTTTCCCCCTAAATTATCTACAACAAATAGGTACTGTATTTAGAACAAAGTTATTTTTTATAATTATTTTATTCAGTTATATTCATTGTCATTATTTTATTATTATTATTATTTTTTAAGTTGAACAGAGAGAGAGAAGGAAAGTGAGAGAGCAAACAGCCAGGTCTGGGACTTGAACCATGGTCAGTCAAATGGGAGTCCAGCCACCTTAACCACCTGCCGGCCCCAACAAAGTTATTTTAAAAGGAATGATTAGCACTCTGTGGGGATTGAGGCAGGGAGTGAGATGTGCTGGTATTCATAACTTTTCCTTCCTCCTCCTAACGGTTTTGGGTTTCAAAATAATATAAAATCATGCTTTGATATGTCCTGTGAAAATTCTCTCTCAACACAACATGCCTGGATCTACAAAAAACATGAATCTGGGGTGTTATGCAGAGTCAAAGGGACCTGCTTTCCCAGACACGCTCGCACCAGGCTGTTATCTCTGGAGCGAAAATGGTCAGGAAAGTGGCCTCTAATCCTGCGCGGGCTCAGCACGGAGCAGATGCACACCCACCCTCTGAGCCACGTGCTTCTGGAACAACTGCATTTCATTGACATTAAAATCCCTTTGGCAATGGGCTGGGGTAAACAGCCCGGGAGGGTGTTCCCAGCCATGGGAGGGAGACAGCTGTGGGGACAGAGCATGCTGACTCAGGAGCACCCGCCACAGCCACCAGGGCAACTGACAGGGAAGGGCCCAGAAGTCTGGCTCTGCTGAATAACCGTTGCCCAGAGCGCCCTGGGAGCCCTAACGTAGGTCTTGCTGGCTAGCCGAGGGAGCTGGGCTTGAAATCCGGCAGTCCTGCCTCAAATTTGACACTCCCTGCTTACACCATGTGTGGTCTTGGGCAATCCTGTCCTGGGGTTCCCGGGTGCTCCCACCCGGGACCAGCTGAGCCAGATCCACCAGACTCACACGGCATTTCCCTAACACTGAGTCCTGGGCTCCTCCCAGGCTGGCTGGTTCTGACTGTGGTCTACCAGGGAGTCCGCAATTTCTGCCAGCCCATTGGGCGATTCCCATGTAGATGGAGGGACTTCATGGTTCGAGTCTCAGTCTCTGCCTTTGTACAAGGGCCACCTTGGAAACTGCCTAAGTGATACCCTGACGATCCGGCAGGCACGCAGGAGGTGCTCACAGTGGTCATTAGCGGTTATGCTTTTCCCAAACAGTCCTCAGCCTATTGCCTTCATATGAGGGAAGCAGTTTGCAAATACAGTGCTTGTTCTCCGCATGCCTGAAAGAGAACGGAGAGTGTCCCCACAGGGCAAGGCCAAATCAGGCTCTCTACAAAAACTCTCCAACGAGCAAAGTAAATAAATAACTCCAGTTGCACACAGAGGGAAATGGACTGGGAGGTGGGATGGCTAGGTGCTTTTTACCTCAGTGCCTTTTTGACCTAGAACCTGTATGGTTTTTACTGCCTCTCAGTGCTTTTTGCAGAGGGTACAGGCCCCCCAGGAATCAGGCAGGGAGGGCAGGCTCAGCCGAAGGTGCTGGACAGAAAGCCTGGCAGCGGCACGCTGGGGGCTCGGCTTGCTCACCGTCTCCAGCTGTCGATGCAGCTCCAAGGCCTTCCCCAAGAGGTCATCTTTTCTCTGGTTTTCATTGACGAAGTCGTCACGGAGGCACCTGAGCTCCACGCACCTGGGCCTGATGGAGTCTGCGGCGTAATGACGGCTTTGGACGAGCTGGTCCCCAACCAGTGCAAGCAGCTGGGCCTTGTCCAAGGACTCCTGCAGAATGAACACCCAGAGCGAAGCGTCAGAGCTTGGCGTTGGGGCCTGGCACCGTGTGCTCCAAACCTGGATGGAGGCTAGGGAAACGCTGGCTCAGGCCTTGGGCTGGGCAGCCCGAGGAAGCTGTGGTGGCTCGGGTCGGCATCACACCCCAGAAGACGGCCACTTGTGGTAACATTTTATCGGGTTCTGTGTTAACACTGAGGGTAACGTGTCCATGAGCCAGGAATCTTCAGTTGAGTGGAAAATTCAGATGTTACCTAAATGACAAATCGCTAGCAGGTTACAGTTAGGGTAAGCCTGAGAGCAGGAAAGCACGGAGCATCGGAGTTCACATACGGGACTCTGAATCCCCCAGTAACTAAAGGAACAGGCGCAGACACTTGGCCCCAAGTGCAGGAGGTGAGATGAAGTTGGAACACTAGTCAAGTTCTGGTGTCAACTCTATGGCAAGGGCCCCGTGCCTAGGCTGCAACCAGAGGCGGGTCCTGCGCAGGCCTCCCCGGGCCCTGCGCGACTCCTCCGGCCCCGCACCAAGGCGGCGGCAGGTGCACATCCCCCCCCCCCCGCTTCACCTGGCCCCATCACCACCA